AAGGCGATTTGGGGCTGTGATTGCGTGAAATCTATAGAACAAATTAGGGGAATAGACATTTTGGAGTGTTCAAGTTCATGAACATGGTATATCTATTCATTTAAATCTTTGCCTTCATCAATGCCCTGCACTTTATAGCATCCGGATCTTCCAGAAACTTTGCTAGATTTATACCAAAGCTCTTCATTTCTCGGCGCTATGCATTTCCATGTGCAGCATCTCTTCTTCTGCAGCTGCCTTTGTTAACTGGAAGGAGAAGGACGAGGAGTACTGGAGATCAAATCAGGATGCAGGCATGCCAATCAGGTGCCCAGGATGCACTCATGCCAAGCAGGTGCCTACGAGGCAGCTGTATCCTCAGCCCTCTTCCGTTACTTTGAAGGCATGAATGTTATATTTAGTTTAAGCATTTGAACTGTGATGTCCCTAGATGTGGTCCACATAACCAGATAGTATCATTTATAAATAGAAATATACTAATAACAACACGACTATCTAAGAACTTAAGAATTGCTAATTATTCACTGATATGCTGGAATGATGCGGAATACGTGTTAAACTGAAACCAAGTAAGCATACATGAAGTACTGTTTAGTAAATAGTAGAAAATTTTTACACAAATATTTGAAAAATTAAAAACATTTGTATAAGAATCATTGATTTAATAGTTACTTATTTAAGTCTTCTTCCTATGGAAATTGTTTATATATGTATATGTGTATGTGTAGGAGGAGCTAAGATGGGAGGAGTCAGGAGAGGAAGAGGAGGAGTTGGGAGAGGAAGAGAAAAAAGGAAGAGGAGGAGCTAGAGAGGGGCAGAGATGTAGGAGGATGGACAACCACACAGGTATGGAAAGCACTCGTGGGGAACAACTTATAAACTTATAATTAGGTTAGCTAATTGGGATACAACTCTCTTTGTATGGGCATCTTGTTATTAATCATTATCAAATATATAAAACCTTTGATTAATCTATAAGAATTAAAGTCTCATTCTTTTACTGGGCCCACATGGATGGTGGAATAGTCTGGGCAATGCCCTGCCTTGCAGAGACAGCATGGAAGATTGGCAGAGCCATCTCTCATGCTGGCATTTAGTGGGTGGCAGGGCTGGTGTTTCTGGTGGGCCAGTTCTAGCTACAGCACTCATGTGGCCTCAGGCTGAGAAACATGGTGGTTGGGCTAGGCAGAGCCACTGCAGCTTAGATAGTCGGCCTGAGCCTGAGGCCGTTTTAAATACTTACGACAACATGTATGTATATATGTGTACATGTGTGTATATATATGTACATGTATGTATATTTGAAACAGTATCTCTTTATGTATTTCTGACATTCTCTGTGAAACCAGACTGGCCTTGAACTCAGGGAGATCTGTCTATCTCTGCCTCCCAAGTGCTTTGATTTAAAGCTGTGTACTACCATATCCATCCTGTTTTGGAAAAGAGTATTTCTTTGTATTTCTGGCTGGGTGAGAAATATGTAGCTCAAGCTGGCCTTGAGTTTAAGGCTGATAAAACTGCCTCTCTGCTTCTCAAATGCTTGAATTCCAGGCATGCATCACAACATCTGGCTCTGTGAATCTTTAAAGACAAAACAAAACCTTGGGGCTGAAAAGATAGATATGTCAATGGTAAAGAGCACTCTCTGCTGTTTTAGAGGACCTGAGTTCATTTCCCAGCACCTACTTTGGCTAGCTCACAATCACCTGCAACTCTAGTTCCAGAGAATCTGATACCCTCATGGGTCCCAGGGCACCTGTACCCCACACACAGTATACATATCATCAAAAATAAAGTAAGTCTTACAAATTAACAGCTTTATTGAACTGTGTTCCACCCACAATCAAATCCTAGATGCTAACAAGGTGTACAGCATCATCAATGAAAACAACCAAAGATCTTACTAAATAGACAGAATGTACAGTTCTTGTTTTGAGGATATCCATAGTTCTGCAACCTGACATACAATATGTTTTAGTTTCTCCCCCACCTCCAATGCATATGCCCGTCAGAAGCCATTGCCTATTTTTTCCTTCTTCCCATCCCTAGTTCTATATAAATCATTAGCCAACTTTCTTTATGCGTTTGTTTGTTGTGAGCATTTTATACAAAGGCAATCATGCAGTAGTTAGTTTTTATCTGACTGCTTTCTTGCATGTAGGATAATGGTTTTCAAAGTTTGCCCATAGTGGGTCATGTATCACAACTTTGTTTCTTTGCATTGCCAAGTAACATTCAAATGTTACCATTTTTATATCATTGTTAACTTTATGGTAAATAAAGTACTCTGCCTGTCTCTAAGGATTGACTCTCTAACACAGAATGAGTAGGTCAAAGGGGACAAATCTCTATATCACAGTTTTATCTGCTTAGTCCAGAAGATTACATACATTGTAATTACCAAAAAGCAAACAAGTATTAAATAGCCTCACTGTGCTCTGATCTCCATTTCCTTTCCCAATTTTTCTGCCTTCTCTCCCTAGAGACAGCTATAATCCCAGTTTGTTACAAGTCTTTTAGTTCATCTTTAGGGAGTACTTCCTGGCTTCATATATGTGTATATGTATAAATACACACATTTCAAGATGTTTTAAATTTGATGTCGTTTGATGGTTACTGACAGTGCCGATGCAATGAAACACAAATCCCCATATGTATTATTAAGCGGAACAAAAACTAATTATATAACTCTATCCTTTCCATCAATATTCATGCCATATAAATAAGTCATTGTAACAGAAGCTCTGAATCCCAAGAAGTAAATCTAATAGGCAGCCTAATAATTCATAGCATGGCCTCAGGATAATAGGGCATTGTTTTTCAGGTGGCTATTTTAATTCAAAGAGGGTACACGGGATTCATTTCAATGAGCTACAGATTCAGTGTGAGGCCAAAACATTTCAGTTTGAGACTCTCAAACTCCCCAGACTTCATACCTACCTTGGAGTTAAGGATTCTATCAGCCATTTAAAAGAGTGGGGATTTGTAAAACAATCTAAATATCAACGGGGCATCCTGCTTCCCTGTGATGGAGCTGGAGAAGGTACTTCTGGTTCCTTGGGTTTGGTAACAGACTGGTCCCTTAGGTCTAACTGGCTTCATGACTGCCCTACAAAAGCTAGGTAGTTATTATTGGTCACTTGAATCTCCTGGATGTGTGTGTGCTTCTGGAAATAAAGTATCATTCATTTCACAAAAACACCTGGTGGCAGCCCATCCTCATATGGTCACCCAGTTGGTTAAAAACTCTCATATCTCCTACCTTTCAAGTCTGAGGACTAAAAAGACAACCCCAGGAGAAAGACCATGTGGTTATCTTTTGTGATCATTGAAGGGACTGTAGCTAGCCCGGGCATGTCAAGCCTGGCTCCCGCAGGCCTTGCCCTACTCCTCCATTCCCTCTGTCTTGCTAAAAACCATTAGATTACATTCCTAAAGCTAGCCATCAAGGTCTATTCCCTTATTTGGCCACTTTATCCTCCTGAGGCTGACTATCAAGGTTCAGCTATCTAGGTATTGAAGTCCAGCAATCAAAAGCCCCTTTGGCTCACCTAATTAGCATGCCCAGTTAAAATTAAACACCTCATCCTAACAAAGGGTTTCTCGTTTTACCTTTATAAACCACTATTTTCCTAAGGGCCATGTCTGGCTCCAATCTAGAGGTTGTCCTTTGTCTCTCTGGGACAAAGAACCCTTCCCCCTCTCCCTTGTTCCCTTTTCCTTCTCATCATCCTCTATCTCCTTCCTGTCTTTGTCTCTTACTCCCTGCCCTTTGAACCTTTGGGGGCATATCTTTGTGCAGAGAACTTGGGTGTCCTGAGCCTATACCAATCTTTATGGTCATCACTGTAGCTGACTGCAAATATTTTGAACTATCTTATGAAACATTACAAACATTACAGGAAGGGTGGAATAGCAAAATCCCCACACTGAAATAATTTCATAAAGTTTCATTTTTCATTACTTTTATTTAGAAATCCACATTGCCGCTACAGACCACCCAAACAATTAAACTACGCGTTCTAAAATACTACATTCCCATTTTATTAAAAGGGAAAAGCCTTTTCTGATTTTTTCAAAGGTCACCTCGAGATGGAATGTATAACGAGTACCAGAAAGATATTGGTAATAGGGTCTATGGGAATATCAATACACTCTCCATCTCCTGGTCAGGGACACCGGGGCGTTTGCCTAAACTGTGACGTGAGGAATGGAGTCTTGCACTGGTGTTCTACGTGAGTTTAGAGATGATGAAGAAAACGAAGAATGTGCAGAAGGCTTACTTAACCTGGATTTATCTCGAGCGCTTAATGATTGGAATAAAGAACCGTGCTTTTCTCAGCTTGTAATTAGCAACCATAACACCTGTAATCGTAAAAACAAAAATCCCTCGGCGCAGAGCAGGCGGCATACCTATCCATCCGGTCCACCTTGTTGGAGGTGGACCGGATGGATTGTGGGGTCTTAGCGCATGCTAGACAAGCACTTCTATTCTTCAGTCTGGATTTGATGTTGTGGTCAAATTCCTCTCCCTGTTCAATTTTTTAAATTCTAAGAGAGTATGCGTTATTATGTCCATTCTTTAGTCCAATTCCAGAGCGCGGGAGATTCAAGCAAATGTTGGAGTGAGCAAGCCTGCCTGGATATGTTTGCCTGAGTCTACCCCCAGAGTTGGGTGTAAACACCACCGAGGGTCCTTAAGAGGGGCAAGGTCTGCGTTCTGTCCTTACACAGTAGGCTCCCTGACATGCAACAAAGTGACCTTGGGTATTCAGAGTGCAGTGCCAGCCTCCCCAAGACGGAAGGTCCTCCCACCGGAACCAGATGATCTTCCCTGCAGTTTAGGCCTGGCAAGGCACGCGAGGCAGGGCACACGTTCTGACACCTCTGACACCAGCCTCTTCCTACTCGCTGGAACTGTGACCAGACTGCCACGCCCCAATCACCTCCCTTCTCCTTTCCAAAGACAGTGCAGTGATTCAATTAGCTAGACAGCCCGCAACAAGCACTTGCTTGGTGGGCAGGTGCTTGGTGTAGAACAGAGCGTTTTCCAACCCTGGCTCGAGAGAGCAGTGCGTGAGACTGGGGCAGGACCGTCTGGGGTCGGTCGGGTCTTGCTCAGATCCACTGTCCAGCTCTGGGGTGGTGAACCCGGGAAACCCGGGGCGAGTCTCCTTGGAGCGCACCTCGGGGTGGGAAGCCGGGAGCAGCGGCGGCCTTAGCAGGACCACACACAACCTCCTGGGAGGATCGCAGTCGCCCCAAGGCCACGACACTTGACCCGCCTCCAATGGTCCACGCCCGTCCCAGGCCCGGCGCCCAGGCCCGCCCGCCGCAGGTGGGGCAGCCAGGGCCCGCGAGTAGGTGCGTGGGATGATCTCACCGCGTGCGGCGCGCCAGGAGGAGGAGGAGCGGGAGCGATCCCAACTTCCGGGTAGTGCAGCCGCACGCCGCGCCACCGGCATCTTGCTTTCTGCTCCCCCTCCCCCGTGTCCCCCTCGCCTCTCCCTCCTTGCCTTTTATCCCCAGCCCCACCCGCCAAAATGAACAGCTCGGACGAGGAGAAGCAGCTGCAGCTCATCACCAGCTTGAAGGAGCAAGGTAGGTGGGCCGGCTGGCGCAGGTGCGGGGCAGCGGCCTCGGGCGGGACAGCTCTGGGCGCAGCCGCAGGTGCCAGCCGTGGCCGGGGGACCGTGAGGCCGCCGCGGTCACCCTGCAGCCCCACGCGCCATGCAGCGCCCTGGGCGGAGTTGCTGCACCGAGCGTCTTCCCGCAGTGGGATCGTGCGCCCCGCAGGACTAGGGCGCGCGACCGGGGCGAAGGGACACGCGTCGGGCGTGGACAGGGTCAGGGCACGCACCCCAGTCCACGCACCCTAGTCCACGCGGGAGTAGCGAGCGGGGCAGGATCGCTGGGTGCGGGGTAATCGCTCAGCTGGCCTGGCTCCTAGCTGAAGCCCCACCCTTGCACACTTCGGGGGTTCCTGGGCCTGCAGCGTTCCCTTCTTTTGGGTTCGGTCTAGTTCCTTTTTCTTGACCCAGCTGGGATTTTTCAGGGCACCGATGTGTTCTCATCACTTCCCGTTTTTAGCAATTTATTAGTCAGCGAGTCGACACCCTGCCTGTGTGGGGCTTAATGAGGGAGCGGGGCTGGAGGAGCTGGAAAGCCATGCCGTTGCCCGTTTTTGGTTTTTTTTTTTTTTGGTTTTTTTTTTTGGTTTTTTTTTTTTTTTTTTGCCTGCTTTTCTCTTCTGCTTGGTAGCTAATGATTGCCAACAGCACATTTGTGAACAAAGCAAGATCCTAGAGACAAGTTAACCTGGCACACTTTAAAAATATCACAATTAACTATCTTGCTAAAGGGAGGTTTGAGAATATGGGTCAAGAAAGAGGAGCTGCACAGGTTTAGGAAGTGAAAGTGTTCAGGTCATGCTCTTTGCTGCGGGACTTGCTGACATTGGAAGGGCCCCTGCTCAGTGGTGCTTTCCATCTTCTCAGCTCTCCAGGAAGTTGCTGTCTTCCCATTCTTGGGTCTTGTGACTAAGCCAAGATGGCTTAAGAGGTCCTAGCAAGGACTTGAGCCGCTTACTGCTCTTCAAGTCCATCAGCCACAACTTCCGCAGAAAGATCTCCGCAGTTCTGTGCTGTGTGACCTCAAGGGAGTTACCTAACCTCGCTGAAATGGATGTAGCACTTTTCCCTGTGTGGCATCTATAAACCCAGAATGGGTGTTAATTGCTTTCACTTTCCCCTCTCATCCGCAATTAGCCTGAAGTCAGCCCACATTACACCTGTGACTCAGTGGATGGACAGAATGCCTTATTTGGAATCCCTCAAGTTTTTTTTTTTTAATCAAAAATTGGATTTCGCTAGTATTTATTTTTAGTAACACTTTCCCCATGTCTCACACCTAAAGACTTTTGATTCATTTCTCTGCACTTAATGAAAACTTTCAGCATTAGTTAATACCAGATCTTTTGATGGATGGTCGTTTTGCAAAGGTTAAAACAAAATAAAATGCATTATTTTCTTTTATTATTTTTTTGTAATTCTCAGAGTTCACTAACAGTGACCACACCTGCACGCATCTCCTCCGGTCCTTGGCTGGACTGATGTTTGAAGAAGGGAGGATTCCTAAGTGTCTAGTTCTTTCTGTTGTGTTGTACTGGAAAACAAATCCGTGGCCTTGGTATTCCTAAAGGTTCCATTTTCCTGATGAAGGCATACCAGGAGTGATAGAACTTGGGTTTGTGTCTCTTGAGAGTACTCTTGGTTTTGGACATTGAACTGTCACATAGAGTTTCTCACCAAATATGGTGAGATTTTTATATCTTAAAACCAGACTGCGTTAAAGACTTACTTAAGAGTGTTTTACAGCCGTTTTACCTGTGGAATTAGCTGGGAAGTTGGGAATTTGAGGTGTAAACATGGCAGCCAGGTCTTTGGGTATACCAGTATTATGGTCAGTTTGTTTTTAATGGTGGGCTGTTGCCATGGTGAATCATAATAATTTCAATCTCCCAATTTAATATGAACAGGGAGAACATTTTTGGTGGGATGCTCTGTTTTTTTTCCCTTGTTCACTGCTAACGTGTTTATGTTTTTGTTTCTTTAACAACTACTAATTAACCATGCACGAGGCCCCAGTTCCAGACCATAGATCATCCTGGCTCTTAGGAAGTTTCTTTTCTGGTAGAAAGATAGTCATTAATCAAAGAGGCGTGCAAGTCAATAGACTAGTATTGTTTCTAAGATGGGTTCCTAGGAATGGACTGTTGGATTTGGTGGCACGAGTGTTATGATGTTATGTCATTCAGTACGCAGCACTCCTCTGTCAATAACTGTGCCTGTTTCTATTCCCCCAGCAAAGCCCTTGTCATCAAACACCAGTTAACATGGGCTGACAGTAGTCATCAGCTGGACAGCCTGACAGGTTTCTGAATGTCTGCCATCAGAACTGGCAACATGCCTCCTTTAAAATGTACATCACCCCGGCTGCTAGTGAAGTTTGAATCTTCACCTATCTCTTGGCTATTTTGGTCTCCTCATGCGGTTGCCCCCTTGATGAGTTTTAAGTCTAAAACTCAAACCTGTTCCCCAGAGAAGAGTGTTCAGGAGAGAGGCTGCTGTGTGAACTGCAGAGCTGACAACAGCCTTCTCTAGTGGGAGCCTTCAGTGTTGAGAATAATGTTGTGCTTGACAAAAGTTGTGAAATGCATTGACAGAGTCTGTCATAATATGAACAATCTCTAATTTATATGTACCATTCCCCAGGCTCTGTGTCTTATAAGTCACACCCCCTTCTGAATTACTCCACAACATTGTATGTTCCCGTCTACTGAATGCTATAATTAGGTATATTATGTCTTTCTAGAAAGTTATATTATGTCCCTTAAAAAAAAATTAGCCAGTGTGTGATTTTTTTTTTATGTTCAAGCAGATGCTGAGGTAATGAGGTAATTCTTCTTTTGTCTTCTTCCCCCCCTCAGGCTTTATTTTATTGGGCTGATTGACATTGTTAATGCATGGAGAAATAGCAACTTAGGATACTATTTCCGATGCATATCTCCCAGCTATCAAAGTGGACATTTCCCTTACAAAACATCATACAATTTTCTCTCTCTGTAGAATTCTTTTGGAAAATGATAGACTTAGTTCAGCATTTGTTGAAGGTGCATGGCTTTCTGGGTGATTCATTCAACATGCATACACTGAATATTCATAGCCAGGCACTGGGCCTAGGCAGCCAGAGATCAGCAAATAAGACCAGGTCCCTGATGGTGGTGACTTCTGGGTCTAGAGATGGTATTAAATCCAGGAAGTATGTCTGATTGGCTCATATGGGTCATGGATTTTGGTCTTTTGGTCAGTGAGCAGCTTGAGTGGAGTGCTCCACACCACACACACACACACAGACACACACACACACAGACACACACACACACAGACACACACACAGACACACAGACACACACACACACAATCCATGGATTACCAACGATGTTCAAAACAGAATGGGACACCAGCATTGAAGGGCCTGACCCAAACAGCAGGTAGCTGTTAGACTGGTCAACGTAGCAAGGCAGTGCTGTTTGGAACTTGGTGATGGTGATGTGTGATTGTCATTTCACAATGTGCCTTTTTACAATTTCTTCTTTCTCTCTTTTCCTTCCCCCTTTCTTCCTTCTCAGTGCTAGGGATGGAATCTAAACCTTTACATATGTTAGTATTCCACTACTGAACCCTTCACCCTTATAACAATATTCTCTGAAAGGACCAATGACAACAAGAACCAAAAGCCATGGTGATTCTTGGGTAAATTCTGTGGTAAGATTTTTATTTTTATCTTTTGAGATGTGTAGGTCTCAAACCCTATGTAGTAGATGATGGCCTTGAACTCCTGGTCCTCTGCTTTCCCTTCCAAGTTTTGGGATTGTAATACAAACCTGTAAGTTCGTATCACCACATCCCAGATGTTGGTCAACACAGAGCTGATTCTTAAGGTTCAGCTTCTTCCTATAGAAAGCTAGTGACTCATGGGTGCTTTTCCAGGGTTCCTTTGTCTTCTGTGGGAGAAATCTGTGGGGGGATTATTGTAATTAAAAGGGTCTAGTCTGTCTCATGGCCACATGTGTATGGGAAGCTGAGTTACTGCACTGGGAGATGCACCCAGAGTCACTCAGCAGAAGGCATTTGGAAATGACAAGGGTGCCTTGACTACATACACAAACTGGATTTTTCAGCAATGTTTTTCTGAGTATGGTCCAAGAAGTGCCTGTTTCTGAGTCACCAGGTGGCTATTTGGATCATAGTTTACTCTCAAGGTCAGTGAACTCTGCTGAGGTGTTGGCAACTAGGCCCTCAGGAGATGGACCTTCAGGGACTGGAGCCATGACTGCTGCTTAACCACCCCACCCCCAACCCCAGGACTGGAGCCATGGCCGCTGCTCAGAGCACCCCCCTCAGGACTGGAGCAGTGGCTGCTGCTCAGAGCCGTCTCTCCATTAACACTACTTCCAGAGAATGGGATCCCCCTTTTGTTTATAAAATATTAACTTATAAACTAAAAGAAAAATGTATAATATTATTTTTCTTCTAACCCATTGTTTCACAATCTGTGTTTACTATCTTTCTATAGAGAGGGTATTTTATATACCGTGATCTTGAAAATAATGCTTTTGGTATGGACTAGAGTTAAAGGCATGCGTATCAATTTGTATTAGTTTATTGTAGACATAGATTGTTATGTGTAGAAATAGAAATAGGTCTATGTTTATGATATATATGCATGTACACTTATGGATACACACACATATATATATATGTGTGTATATATATATATAATGTTTTTCAGAACATGGGTGCTAATAATGCCCTCTGATAAAAGAAACATGGTCGGTCCCCAAGGGAAATGGCTGGTTTTTCTTCCAGATACCCAAATATGCCAGATGAGCCTGGAACATTCCGTGGTTCTCAAACCTAAGGAAGTGCTCCAACTAATAAGCTCACATGATGGGACTGTGTTCAAGAGTCACAGGAGCCAATGGGAGAGTTGTCCACTGGCCAAAGTTGGAACAGTTGAAAGCAAACAAGATATAACAC